TAGAGCACTCGAATGGATTCATTTCTTAACATTTTTTTGAAAAACAAAAAATATGTAAAAATTATTAGGTCGCATGAACTGATCATGGTAGATCGTCAAACTCATGATCGTCATTTTATCCCCTCTTGAATTTTTTTTATCTAGTTGAATTAATCTTCGTAGAGAAATAAACCATAATATCTGGCCTTAATCTTTAGACTGGCCAAGCTCAGTTAATGGATGGCCTCACCTAGTGTTTACCTTACGGGCATAGCCTATGTTAGGGGAAGTGTTTGTGTCCAACTGGCTCCTTTTTTCAAAAATTGAGGTCCGACTTGCCATTGAGACAATAGATTGGAGACCAGTCGTGCAATTTTCAAATATTTATAATTAATTGGACTAGTACTGAATGCCATCAACTACAAAACATTATTCCTTATAAATATATTAGCACATCACATTAGAATTTGGAACAAAGGACAAATTGAATAATGTCAATAATAAGCCCTTGTTTGATAAGGCTTAAAATCTAGATTTTAATTTAAATCAATGTCAATAATTAATTTTAACAATATTTATGAGATTTACTATTTTTAACTACATATTTCATCAACTTTTATTAAAATGTACTAAAAATTTAATGATAATCCCGTCAAATAGGGGTTAAATCTTGCGACGTTGTTCAAAGATTCACGAAACCCATTCACATTATTTTTTACTCATTTCCATTCAAAAGCCTCGTCATATCATTAATAAAATAACAAAAATGCTATATAGTGTACACATCTAATTTGACGTTTGGTGTGTTGTTAAAAAAGAATTGGAGGAAAAATTGTTTTAAAATTGTCCAATGTTGTCGCAAAGTGTAACAGATGATGTATATATAGCATGATTGATAAAATAAATAAAAACCAAAAGTAAGATAAAAATAATTTTTTCATTAATGTCAAAACAGGCTACCAAACTCAAACCATTATTGAATAATAAATATACTAGTTTATTGGTCAAGCCCTATTTGATTTAGATAAAAATTAGATTTTTAGTATATTTTGATAAAAAATGATGAA